CTCTCCACTGATTACGAGGAGGGTGTCTCTCTCCACTGATTACGAGGAGGGTGTCTCTCTCCTCTGATTACGAGGAGGGTCTCTCTCCCAAGCAATCTCTCTTTAGAGCAAAGTCTGCTGTGAGCTCAAGGGACCCACTTCACCCTTGGAAGAGGCCTTGTTGTATGTTATCGTAACCCAATCTGAAACTTATTGCAATATTGTCTTTGGGTTTTGCAAAGTGCTGTATAACTGTAATGTATCATTGCGTTTAATTCATGTATCGGACACTTTTATCCAAAGAAAGAGTTACAGTTTATGGGTGTGCCTTAGAATAGTGTTTCTCAGACCAGTCCTGGGGGTCACCCAGACAGTCCACGGGAACAAAAGCATGGAGCGTTTGGGAGTTTGCCCTAAGATTTCAGCCCATGAAGTCTGTGTGTTAGCAGAACACTCTTGTTGATTGAGCTACAGAGCTATTATCATTATTGTTAATAATAATAATAATAATAGTAATAACATTGTTGCATGCTTGCTTAGGTACAAAGTACTGGCCTTCTCCGGACTGCAGCTCCTCTCCTACTCTCACCTTCCCAGCTCCGTGTTTACATTAGCTTGTAGGCTAACAGCTAGCTGACATAGCTTTGTGTGTGATGTTACCTACTGTCCCAAATTAGGGGGGGGCTTTACTTTTGCTCTGGTTTAGCTCTCATACAGGCAAGCTGAACGTCTCACACATTAATGATCCACTCTAGGTGAAATAATTACAGCAGATATTCAGCGCCTGTTAGCCTCCTAGTAGATCACACTGTTAAAACTGCCTGTTAATTCCTCAAGGGGACGCAGTCAGCTTAAGTTCATCTGCAGGCATCGCAGAGAGGAAGACGCACTGAGTGTTTGCTGCCTGTACAATAACAGCGTATCTGCAGCGCGAAGACATATTGGGGTAATGCAACTATTTACTGGGCAGATTCTTTTTGAGCACCGCGGCATTAACATTCATGCATATTTTTAATTCAGAGCAAGTGTCCGAATGATTTATTATGCGGTTTATTGTAGGAGCGCGGAAGGGACACTTCAATTTATTTATTTTATTCAAGGAAGCCTTTTTCTTTGAGTAGCAGCTGGGCCAGCAGATTTGCCGAGGTCTGCGTGTCTTTTTTACTCACGCTGCTGTTAATGGCGTTTTGTGAGCATCGTGACGCCTGATGCTGAAGTTCGCCGTGAGTGTGTCCGAGCGCGTGCCTGAGCGTGTACCCGTGCGCGTAACCGAGCGTAAGCGTCACAGCAAGCCGCCAGTCCGGGGAAGCCCGCAGCCCTTTGGAGGCAGTAATTACGTTTCGCCGCTGTATCTTCTCGTGACTGCGGTGCGCCTCTAACAGCTTAATGTAAAGCGTGACGTCTGTCGAGGCCGGACGAAGCAGCGCTGTTAGTCGGCGTCCGGCCATCTGTGACCGGTAACCCCTTCTCTGCGGTGCCACCCGATACCACTGATATCCGAGGCGGTTAACCAGGCTAAACGCGAGTCCGCGTCCTCGGTCATGACACAGAGAAGCGTTTAGGAGACGCCTTTGATCTTGGTTGCTGTTAACCGTGATTACTTCAGGGCAGGGCTATTAGAAGGGGCGCCGTCTGGAAGAGACCGTCTGCCCTCCGTCCCTCTGAACAGCCGGCTGGCATCGCTCCTCCCGCACGGGTGGGCGGGGACTGTGATGCAGAGGCGCCCGGCCCCACCCCACGCCCCGCCCCCACATCCCCACCCCGGATACCTTCATTTGTCCTTGAAGTGCTCATTTGCATATTCAGCAGACCCTGCCTGTTTGCTAGGACGCAGATGGTTCCGGTTCCCCGTCTTCTTGGCACAGTATCGATCTGTTGGGTAAAGAGTAGCCCTTCTGGACGAGTCCATTAGCAAGACGGGTAGGGGGGGAGGCGGATCAGCTCATTTACATGTATAGTTATATGTTGTTAGACTTAATTACATAAGTTAATAGTCTGGTTCATAAATAGGCTACTTGATCTATCTCAACTGAATTGGTTTATTTAGGATATTTTACTTTTTTGTACAGTATAGGAAAGAAAATAAAACTGATGAAACTGGGCATGTATTGGAAGTTAAGGTACTCCTCCAGGGATTTCTTAGTGGTCTGTCTATAACTGGGTTGCCAGGGAAACGTGAATGTATTTTTTTTAACTATGCTTCGTTTTAAGTGGTATTTCTGACTTTTTATTTGACCTTTCTTGATTGACTTGACAAACCATAGATAAACCTCAGACAGGTCATTAAGATTCGGTCTGGTCTAACTTAACCAGAGTTTTACCCTGAATAGCCTTAAGTCTCATGGCCTTCGGGGACTTTTACCGCATCTGTTCCTTGAGTCTGCAGACGAGGGGCTCTTATTTTGAGGGGGTGTTGCGCAGTCATGACATCATCCCTGGCATGGGGGTGAACCCTGTATCAGGTTTCAGTGAGACCCTGAGCCCCCGGGTCTGTCCCTGACAGCACTTCCTCTTGTGGTTTTCCCTCTGGATGCCTCCTCTGCATTGTGTAGGAGTGTGCAGGTCTTGGGGGGTGGGGTGTGTGTGCACGTGAGGGCTAACTGACCGCTATGTGGCCGTTTCTTTACAGAGCGGGGGGGTCGATGTGGGAATGGGTGGAAACCACAGTGCGGATGGTGTTTAATGCCCTCCATCACTGTCGTGTCTCACTCCTTCATACTCAGATTTCCCCCTAAACCCTCAGATCTTGAGTTTAATACTCCTGTTTCTAGGGCCTGGCTGTTCATGTCGGGGGAGGGGGGGGCTGAAATGGTGGGTCTGTTACTTGTGGTGGGACATCAACGCCACTTGACCTTGTGAAGTCCACACTCTTGCTATTTGCTGCCCGTTGACAAAAAAAAAAAAAACTATACCCACAGTCTAGGAAGGATGAGAAGTCTTCATGTCAGGCCACATGTGTAGGCATCACAGATCCCACCATCCTTACCACGTCTCCCAGGCTTCACAGCAGACGTTCATGGATTATGTTTGCAGCAGATTACTGCTTCTGGAGTTGCATACACCAGTGTTTCCCAATCCGGCCCTTGGGGACTCCCAGAGAGTTCACGTTTTTGCTTCCTCCCAGCTCCGGGTAGGAAAAATGTGTATTGTCTGGCGGGGAGCTCTGAGGACCAGCTGTGGGTCCCTGGGGACCGGGTTGGGAAACACTGGAGTTGACAGTCACTCTGCCGGGGGAACCTAAAGGGTCATTTACAGTGAACCGGCCCATGGACAGCCCAACTGAGGGCGCGTGTGCACAGTCACCCAATCTGTAATTATGTAGTTGCCATGGGACGTCGTGTTGGTAAACAGACAGTCAACCGCATACACGAGGGTAGAGTGCTGGGTTTGAGGGCCGCAATTTACACGCCATCTCACCGCAAACTGCTCAAGAGGTACAAGGTTAGTGTGTTCGAGAATGGGGTTACGGTGTTATGGAATGAGAGTGCATGTTTAAGAATCACTGGGATTTTAGGCTTAGTGTGGGGCGTCCTACCCAGGGTGCCCCCCCCCCAGCCCTGGACTGGACAGATGGGCAGATGGATGGGTGGCAGGATGGTTCCCCCATACACTGGGTTAGTGTATTTCAGAATGAGCTGGCATGTAGAAATATGGGTCTAATCACTGGGTGAGATGTGCAGCCATCCCACTCACCAGCAGGCACATGGCTAACTTTGTAAGAGATTACAGGTGTGCCTCCTCGTCCCCGAGGGCATGTCCATCATCAATAGCGTCATTTGGGCTGAACCTTGTTTGCATTGTGAGAGTCTCTAACACAGTGTTCACGCTTGCTGTACAATAGCTAGCCATATGGAGTTGATTTTCTGTGGGACCGGATTTGAGAATATAATTGGTGACCCTGATTTTCTGACAGCACAGTGTCACAGTTATGGAGAAAAGAGTCATGCGTACTCCTTCCAGGACTCCTAACAGTTCTTTATTTAAATCCTTATTCTGCTTTCCAGGGTCTTTGTTTTTGTCTGTAGGATAGGAAGAGGAAAGACACAGACACACACAAACACACACACACACACAGGTAGTGAGCAGAAGTTGTGTTCATTTCTCAAACCATGTAGGTTTTTGGATGCTCCTTTCACAGCCTTGCTCAGAGCTTTGGTGTTCCAACAGAAAGCCCGTTACCCAGAATTCCCTTCTCCTGCTGCAGTTCCTTTCATACTGAGTCTCTGAAGCCATGTCAGAGAAGCTGAGTCCCCCCACAGCAGTGATGTTGCCGCTTTGTGGGATCCGTGAGGGTGTGTAGCATTCCAGCTACGATAACGGAGAGTGAGGTTAGAGGACACTTCATGTAAACACAGCTGCAGGATCACACTCCCAGCGTCCTTTGGGGGGCAGAATCCTTCCCTTTCCCGGACTGCTAGGTTGGCTTTTCCTAATCTATTTTCTCTGGAAAAGAGACACCACCAGAAAACAGGTCGCCCTCTGTACCAAGGGCAGCTTGGTCGCCCTCTGTACCGAGGGCAGCTTGGTCGCCCTCTGTACCGAGGGCAGCGCCGTTGTGCCTTTGAGTCTCATTAAAACCAAAGGATTTGGCCTGCCTTAGAATCCCAAGGCCAAATGATGTCCTGAGCAGCTGAGGATAAATGCCTAAATATTCCCCTGTCCCTTAACTTCCCCTTAATGTCCTTATTACATGCTGTTGCCTTTCACCTAAAAGACGTGGTACAAGGTCGGCCAATTTTGTGAAATGGTGCCTCTTGAGACTTGCAGTTCTTATCGCACTCGCGGTTTGTGTTTTGTTTGCTGTGCTAACACTTGTGTGGAGTTGGCCCCCGCATCCTCCTTGTCGCTGGTACGGCGTGCCCCTCTGTCGTAAGCCTCACGTCCCTTTGCCATAGCTAAATACAACCACCCCACCCCCCAAAGGCAGCAGAACCAGACCGACTTGAGGCCAGATGAGGCGGGAAGTGAAAGCTAGTGCAACAGCCGCTGCCCCCCCCCTCCCCCGATTCCCCATCCTCGGTGGGATGAGCAGCGATGAGGGAAAGTCCGCCAGTGACCTTGGGGCTCGCCGGACCCCTCGCCTAGCAACCCACACAGCAAAACATAAACGGCGGGCCGTAATCAAGTTTGCCGCCGGAGGTCCTGAAACCTCTCCAGCGATTGTTCTTTTCAGCCAATGCGTGTTTCCCAAAAGGAGGGCAGCGTCTGGAAAGTGGCCTATCGCTCCGCCGGCCGGGTAGCTGCAGTGCCCGTGTGCTCGCAGGCAGAGAAACACTCTCTGCTGTTCTAATTCTCAGGGCCCAAAATATTACCATGACACTTCGAAGATTAGCTGCTTACCTGGTTAATTCAATTTGGTTCATCCTTCTACTAACTTTTTATCCAGGTCGGGGTCATAGGATAATTAAGGTCAATTCAAAGGGCTTTATTTGACCCCTAGAGGCAATTAGTCACTCGTCATTTTGACAGGCTTTTTGTGCAGCCAGGGTTCAGGCCTCAGTTAATTACATTAGTTTTTTGGTTGGGGGGGGGGGGTAGTATTCTCATTTCTTTACACTTGAATACAAATGGTGAGGTTGCTGTGAGCAGCATTGTTTGAGCGTACAGCTGTGATCGGTTTTGGGAGAATCCATCTCGGTGCCAGACCCGGGGAGGTCCGCATGCGGTACATCTGCGCAGACCCTGCAGGTGTAAGCAGGAGGTCGGGGCTGTGTGTCGCTCTATGGTTCGGAGAAGTGTGGATCAGCAGATCTGCAAACCCGTGTCAGCAGCTGAGTCCGAAACACCTGAAACCCAGCTGCGCCGGGCTGGGCGAGGGCAGGCTGGGATCACAGGGCATCTGTCTCGCAGCACCAGAGAGAGACGCAGCAGGGCAGCTCACACCACAGCAAACACACTCATCCCTAGAGGGCGCTGCTGTTGTACCCTTGATACCAGCTCTCAAACTGAATTGCATCAGTAAAATATCCACCCAGTAAGTGGTTGGATAGGTCTGTTTAGATAGGCTAAATAAATGTAAATATACCAGTGATATTAACTATTACATATGGTACTCTTAACAGTGAAAGCAGGTGGGCCATTCCCAGCGTAAAGGGGTCAGTCAGACTGCCGGCCCCAGGCTCCGCGTTGCAGGGTTACGCCCAGCCCCCATCCACGCTCGGTGAGGCAGACTTCAGCAGAAAACTCGCGATCAGTGCAGGAACACGTCCCTCAGCGTCTGCAGTAGAAAATCACAGGGCGGCATCAGGTTACGGAACAGCTCTGTGTTTATTCACCGAATCAATGACGACGCGTGCCCTGCTACCCCCTTGTGCCGGCAAATGGAATTACAGCACTCTTTTAAAACAACACAGATGGTTACCCATAATCCCACTCTCTCCCCCCCCCCACCTAAACACAAGGAGCTAGTTTGGGGGAGGGGTCACAGCAGGTAACGGCCGGGCCGCAAATAGCTGCAAGTGCACTCCATAAACCGAAGTAATGTTATATTCTTTTAAGAAATGTTGGGCCTACTGTATGACAATTAGCCTTTAGCTGTGTTATGTAAACTGATTTGCTTTGTTTTATTCCTGATTCATACACACAGATGGCTCTTTTACTTGAGGCTTCAGGTAACGTGCCGCTTGCCACTGAGCTGTGGCCACATTTTGATTCACTCGCAGATTATTCTGCGCCACATGTTGCTAGCGGCTAATTAAATTAGCATTTCACTGTCAGTTCGCAGAGCCGCCATCGCTCGCTTCTGCGCACGTGTTCGTCCCGCAGAGGGCAGCGAGGCCCCGGCCGGCCGCCGAGGGCACAGGCCATGACCTCTGACCTCTCGTGTCACCACAGGAGCGTGGCTGAAGAGCAGCCTGGGCTATGTGCAGAGGGAGGGGGGGCAGCTCGTGCTGACCTACATCGCCCCCCAGCTCGGCTATTGGGCAGCCGCCATGTCACCTCTCAACACAGGTTGGTTTCTAACAAATTCTTAATTAATAAAAATGCGTCTCTTTCTTGCTGCTTTTGTTGGGGGTATCCCCAAACATGCTGCTCTCCGGGCTTTTCCTTTTCAGTGTGTTGCTGAATAGCGCTCCCTGCTGGCCAAACATGTGAACACCCATAACGATTAGAACTCTGGGCTTGTTCTGTCCCCAGGCCTGTGCTGCAGCCATCAGGCGTGATTTGTTTATTTTGCCTATTTTAATTTGTGACTGTGGGTAATGTGCTGCGGCAGAGGGGCAGCTCTCAGTAACACCCTCCCATAGAGGCACTATAATGGAGCTGACGCTCAGACACACAGCCGTGTGAACGGCAACAGCCAACAGCCATCCCCGAATCCCTCATGCCGCTGCAGGTGCTGTGGTTGCGAAGGACATCAGCTCCTACCACACGGCCTTTCTGCTGGCCATCCTGGGTGGGATGGGGGTCATCATCCTGTTCCTCGCCTCCCTGCTTCTCTACTACTGCAGGTACATGCGTGTCAGTGCGTGTGACTGCGTGTCAGTGCGTGTGACTGCGTGTCAGTGCGTGTGACTGCGTGTCAGTGCTCAAGCCTGTGTGTGAGTGCGTGACAGTGTGTGTCATTTACAGTTCAGAGCTTCACTGTGAGTTTCACAAACATCTCAGCAGAGGAGAAAGGAGGCATCCAGCCGCAGATGTGGGCCTCACCTTCCCTTCTTCTCTCCCTGACCCAGGAGGAAATGTCTGAGGCCACGGCAACGGCACCACAAGCTGCAACTGTCCACGGTGCTCAGCGGCTCCAAGAGAGACCAGGCCACCTCCATGTCACACCTCAACCTCATCAGCGAGGTGCACTTGGACCTGGTGTCGTCCACAGCCGAGCCCAACCTGCACACTCCCGTGCTACAGCCCACCTGTGCTCCCACCTCCCACCAGGAGAGGGAGCCCTCCAACCAGAGCTCACCTGCCCACCAGCCCCACTCCTCCCGCACTTCTCTGGTTAAGGAGTGCCACCGATTGGTGGAGGTCCCTCCAGTGAGGGCAGCCCGGTCCCAAGAACTTGGGGACGGTTATGAGTCGCCCCAGCACGGAGACGGCCGGCAGAGCCGCTGCTCTGAGTCTTCCCCACGGCCGCCAGATGCGAGGGAGGGGTCAGCGCAGGCATCGAGGAGCCAGCTGTCAGTGGGCAGCGAGGCCAGCATCCACGACGCCTCCCTGTCCAGGCCACGCACCCCGGGCCCCACGGAGCAGCCCCCTGACCGCCGGCCGGTGGACCACCTGCTGTCGCGGTCCGTGGACCACCTAGAGAGGCCCGCCTCCCTGCCACGGCCAGGCCAGCTGCTGTGCTGCAGCTCTGTGGACCAGGTGAACGAAGGCGGGTACCGGCGGGCACGGCCAACCCTGGTCATCCCGGCGCACTACGTGCGGCTGCCCGGGGAGCACCCGTTTGCTGGGCAGCCTCTGCTCCTGCAGGCTGACCAACAGAGTGACCTGGAGACCATCCAGGCGGAGCTGTCTGCCTCGCAGCCTCCGCCAGGCCCGCCGGGCTCCGGGACGCCGCAGATGTCATCCTCCACCGAGGACCCACGGGACGGCACGTGGACCCTGCAGACGGCCTCGGCGCCCGAGTCGCTGTCCATCCCGGCATCGCTCAGTGAGGTGGGGCTGGTGCAGATGAACGGTGAGGACCAGCTGCTGGCGGAGAAGTCGCTGCTGGAGCTGCGTGGCGGTAAGCCGCTGCCCCACCCCCGCGCCTGGTTCGTCTCCCTGGATGGCCGCTCCAACGCCCACATTCGCCACTCCTACATCGACCTGCAGCGTGCCGGCTGCAACGGCAGCAATGACGCCAGCCTGGACTCGGGCGTGGACATGAGCGAGCTAGCCCGGCGCATCCGCAGGGGCCTGCGGGAGAGGGAGGCCGAGAGGGAGGCCGAGGTGGAGGCCCGGCGGGACAGGAGCACACCGCCCACGGTAGCCTACACCCAGCTGGTGTACGTGGACGACATGGAGGCCGATGGCAGTGAGACGGGTACGCCCAACGGCAGCCCCGACGATGGTGCCCTTGGGCCGCTGCTCCAGGACACCCGAGGAGCCGAGGAGGAGGAGGTGGACGACGACGGGGGCGGGCGAGGAGAGGGTGAATTCAGGACTGAGCATGCCAGGCCGGAGCTTCAGCTGCCTGACAGCCCTCCTGACATCATCTCCGGGCAGGACGACAGCGGCGAGGACGAGAACAAGAAGAGCCCCTGGCAGAAGCGAGAGGAGAGGCCCCTGTTGGCCTTCAACCTGAAGTGAGCGAGCGGTCCGAGAGACGGGACCAGGACCGCAGGCGGGCAGTAAACACGCAAAAAATAGTAATGTGTGCCTCGTGCACCCGAGCCGCTCCTTTTCGAACCATTGGACACAAAGCTTTACGCTGGCGTGAATCCTCAAGCTGGATGGACAATGAGGCACCGCTCCTCTTCACCTTCTGTCCCTCTGGTGGCAGCTTTGTGCATTAAACACTTTCAGCTGGTCAGCTCAGATAAGCTCTTTCCACCAGAGGGCGCCTATGCACCGTTTTTTACTGCGGTATCGCGTTGCTTTTAATGCCTTTTTAACGTGTAACCACTATGTCATGATTTTTTCCCCTCTTATTTTCCAAGTATTTTATCCAGATATTTTTGTTACTGTTTAGTTTCAGCCTTGCCTTACAGTAAGAGTAAAATGTGACTCTGAATGCCTTCTTCCGTCGACGCCAAACCGAATCCTGCGTTTGCTGGTTTTATTCTCTACTTCCATGTGTTTTTCCAAGTGCCTTGTTAAACTTACCTGGTTAGCTTCTTTTACTCGTTAGCATTTTTGACCCCGTGCACGCGCGCGCACACACACACACACACACACACACACCTTGGCAGCCCCCCGATCAGGTTCCCCCCGTGTCCCGAACACACAGACCAGGCAGCGCACAACTACAATAGCTGGTGACTCGAATGGCGCCTCGTTCTGTCTCCTTGCCATGGTAATCTGCTTACGGCAAGCATATTTTACTCTGAATGTTAATACTGGTTGCTTGTATAATACTTGATGCTCATTACTCTGAATAAATTGAAGTAAAAAAAAAAAAAAAAAAACACGCTCTAAGTGAATTCTTCACAATGTCAGGAAAGAATAAATCAAATATAAATGTGTTCATTTTGTTTATATGTCACAATGACCTTGTAATGGATTATTAGTGTGGATGGCTGGATGAGTGGATCAACGGACATTTGTGTTTGTGTCGTACAGTACAGTCGGTGTCCTCAGGCTAGGTGCAGATAACCTTATTCATGATACTATTCTGTGGTAATTATCACATTTTATTTAAAGTTGAATTAAGGAAATTTTCATAGTTTACGTGTAGCGTTTTTGAATGCTTTAAATTTTTTAAGTCTACTTTTCATATGTGTAAGAAACGTCACTGCTGACGCGTGACCGTGACAGCTAGGAAATCCCAGTAACGATCCCAGTGATGCCCAGGATCCGCGTGCTCCCAGGTGATGGGAACTTCCTACTTCTGGGTTCCTTTCCCGTGTTCTGGGAATGGGAGCAGGTCTGCTGTCTGTAATGGGTTCGGCGGAGGAATAGAAGGCTGGGAGAGAAATATCTCACTATCAGAAGCACAAACCTCTCCGGTCCAGACTCTGCTGACTCCTGCCTGCTGGGTAAACGGAGCGCTACTAAAATTCCTCCTTGTGGCGCCATTTACTGAACCATTTTCTCTGATGGTTCCAGTCTGAGTAACCCCTAATACACAGTAGCCTACAATCCTCAAATAGCAGCCCCAAGGTAGTGTAACATTTTTTAAAAGGATATAGCAGCGCTTTGGTTTATGGAGTAAAAGGTCCCCCCGCTGGTGCAGGTAGAGCGTCCGCTATGTATTCATCGTTTAAAAATCCGTTCGTCACTGAATACAAATTTTCTTTGAAAATGAATCTTTAAAAATGGTGTTAATGTACTTTGGTAGGAGTCCAGAGACCTTCGATCCAATTCGGGGGCATCACAACGCACTCGAACTGCACAGCCCCTCATTGCATCGTTTAATAAACACAAACAGAAAAATTAAAAGATCTCAAGCAGAATTGGGTGTTTTGCGGCCGGTTTTTCAATGATACTAATTAAAGAATAATTACAGAATAATGGTTGTCGTGATTAGAACCCCCGGTACCCTGCGCGTTATCCCCTCCCACCCCCGCGCATCTGCGTCGAGGAGGACGGCCGCTAGGCGGCGCGGTTTCGCTCCTTATTCTCTTTGTGTTTTTAATTCCCCCACCGTCCTCCAGTATTACTAATTTTTTTCAGCATATCTGTCCATGATGGCGGAGGACAGCGAGTCTGCGGCGAGCCAGCAGAGTCTGGAGCTGGATGACCAGGACACCTGCGGAATAGACGGAGACAACGAGGAGGAGAATGAGCACTTGCAGGGGTGAGCCGGGGAGGACGCCGGAGCCGGGCGCGGAGCCCGGTGGACGGAGCCGAGCAGCGCTGTCTACAGCCCTCCAGCGGGAGGCCCGGCACCGTTACCGTTATTAATGTCGGTACGCCGCCTCCGTGCTTTCACCTCGCCGGGGGAGGGACCGGAGACGCGGCCGGTGCGCTGCCCGATCGCGGTCCGCCCGCAGACCCGGGACGTGCGCTAGGCGAACGGGTTTAAATGAATGAAAGCGGCGCAGCGCTGCGGCTCTCCGGGTCTCGGAGCTTAACCCCCAGGCGACGGCCGCTGCCCTTTTCGTCTTTGGGGGAAGCCGATCGCCGTGACGGGGTTTCAGCTCACCTGAGCCCGTCCCGTCCTCATTCGGGCCGACTCCAGGGCTGCGGCAGGCGGCCCGTCCGGTGTGCCTTCCCGGCTGCTGCCGAGCAGAGCCCCGGTCCTACGCCATCCACGTGTCTCTGACCCCGATCTTCGCCGTTACTGCTTCCTGATCGCCGATCATTAGCCCTTATCAAGCTATTTATTGAACCTGTTCCCAGAGATGGGACTGCTTAGAGCGACGGCGCTCCTGTTCTTTCAGGCTCAGTAGTGTCTTACATTGTGTCTAAAATTAAATAAATTTACCTCAACGCGATGCTCAAGGTAGCATGACATTACTGTGCGCCTCGCTGATCGATCGCTTTAAGATGTAAACATTGAGACCGGCTGCAGTGTGACGCCGTGTTGGGGGGGGGGGTTCCCGTGTGCATGTCCGGGATGTAAACACACGCAGTCCGTGGCTCCTGCTGATGCCCCCTGATTTTGACGGCCTGTTTCTAGGAGCCCGGGCGGAGACCTCGGGGCCAAAAAGAAGAAGAAGAAGCAGAAACGCAAGAAGGAGAAGCCGAGCTCCGGCGGGGCCAAGTCCGACTCGGCCTCCGACTCGCAGGAGATCAAGGTGCCCGGTGCCGCTGCGGGGGCGCTGATTCCGCGTCTCCCCCCAGCCCCCAAGCTCTAAAGTTGAACTTCGTAAACATGTCAGTTTTAGCTCACACACTTCGTAGGGTCCTTACCGGGGAAGGGGGGTGATCTTAGGCTGCAATCAAGACCGTCACATGATACTGAGAGACTCTAGTAAACAGGACAACAACAGGAATGCGTGTTAGCGACAATTAAGAAGATTAGTACTGGAACAGCGAGCAGACGAGGAAGGGGCAGGACGGCCCGAAGCCCCCACTAGTCACTTTTGTGACGTTTCCATCCTGGAACTGTAGAAGTGTTTTTGAAACTTTAATGAAGTTTTAAAGGTTACAGACTCAGTAACTGAAAATGGTGCGGAGTGTACAAAGTTCTCATTCCAAATGAGTAGCATGGAAGGAAATTGTTTTACGTGCGGCTGACATTTTGTATTTTTGCAGTGGGGAAAATATTTTAAGTTTTATGAAGCAAGTCTGTATTCATTGAGTTTATAGATACTGTGTGTGTGTGTGTGTGTGTGTGTGTTGGTTGGGGGTGGGCGGAGGGCTTTTGTTCGGTTGCATACACGGATGTTACTCAACCGGTAATTTAACTCAGGGGTACAGCTTGTGCCTGTCGCAGTCCTACTAGGTTTCCTGAAAGCTCACTTCGTTCCTTGTTGTCTCCACCCCTGGACCAGAACCCGGCCATCCCTATGCAGAAGCTTCAAGACATCCAGAGGGCCATGGAGCTGCTGTCGACTTGTCAGGGTCCGGCCAAGAGCATCGACGAGGCCACCAAGCACAAGTACCAGTTCTGGGACACCCAGCCGGTGCCCAAGCTCAGTAGGTGCCCAAGCTCAGTAGGTGCCCAAGCTCAGTAGGTGCCCAAGCTCAGTAGGTGCCCAAGCTCAGTAGGTGCCCTGAGCTCCGTCGCCGTTCACCTCGGGCCAGGTGCCCACGCAGAGCGAGGGGGAGGAGCCTCACGCCGCATTTAGAGCAGGATCCGGGTGCGAATGCGAGGACAGCTGGATCCTCGGCATTATGGGTCATCAGTGTCTCTGCCCTGCAGGCTCTATCAGGGATGCCGTCACTTATGTCCGCCCACCTCCCAGCCGCTTAGGCCAGGCCCTCTGCTAAGGCCACACCTTCACGTCGCAGGTCTTTGAAATATTTGCATTTATTATTGCACTATAAAACAAAAAAGTTGAAATATATCTGAGGTGATACGTTCTGTTTGGCTGTAGTTTATCTACCAATAGTGTGTCAAATAAGTTGGTGGTTTTGCTGAGAGTCGTGTTAACAGACACACATCAGTGCCGACATTCGTGATATGATCACCGGGCTTTAGATGACAGGTGTAAAACTTTGTCCGGATGCCGGATTTCCGTACTATACAGTTGTTTGTTTACACCCACAATTCGATAAGCAGATCACTAATACACCTAAAATATTAATGAGAGGTGTATTGTGACACCCAAAACTTACTAATCTGTAAAAATTCGACTATCATTATGTTTAACGGACACATCAAACTTTAAACTGTAAAAAGTGCCACCACACTGCCGTCTTTCTACCTTGTTTATCCACAACATCTCCTCTTTCAGACGATGCTGCGGATGCTGATCTGTCCCTTTCTTCACCTCCACTTCAGTGCTTTTCGCTTCCATGATTTACCAAAACAGTAGCATTTAATTAACATAAGGAAACTTTTTGGTGTCACAATACACCTATAATTAATATTTTAGGTTTACTACTAATCTGCTTACCGAATTGTGGGCATAAGTAAACGTCCGTATAGTTCTGAAAAGCTGGTGTCCGGACTAATGTTTAGAAAAATTAAAGCCCTGGTGATTATCGCGCACATATCACGATTATTTTGTATCACATATCGGGCCAGGAAGCTTGGGGCGGGCGGCTGGCAAAAGCTGTTGCCTGTGGGTGGTGTGGCAGCAGTGGATCTGGCAGGAGGGGGGGCACGGCTGTAATAAAAGTAACTACATTTTACTTGGTCAGTAAGTCATGACCCAAATTTAAAAAAAAAAATAAAAAATTCACCAAATGTTTTTCACAAAAAAATAGGGCAGTAATGGTAAATAGAACATGGTGGAGTGAGAGAAGCACAAGGCCTTAATGCACTGTTAAAAAAGTATTCAGAAGACGGAGAACATATTCAAGAGATATATATATATATATATATATATATATATATATATTATTATTTTTATTTTTTTTACAACACCACTCCTGTGACCTTCTTTTGGGTCGCGACCCACCAGCTGAGATCCCAAGCCACCAACCCAAATAGTACCCTAGACAGTCTGTCACAGGGCACAAACACTATCATATACTGCAGGTAGCCTAACAGCACCACATTGTACTGTGGGAGAGCAGGGCAGAGGCGTGTTGGGCCTCAAACCTCAACGCAGGTGTGTAAAGGCAGATCAGATCCGCTTTCTGCCGATCATTAAAATGTCCAGCATTTTTGTGTTTCAGTTAATATCCCTTTATTTCCATGTGTGTCTCAGAGACACTGTGAAGAGGGAGGGACTTTCCGGCTGATGCCATTGGTCAGAATGGTGCCGGTCTCTTCCCTAGGTGCCTTGGCCGAGGTTTATGATTGGCCGTTATTCTCTGCATTCCAGACGAGGTCATCACTACCCACGGGCCCATCGAGCCGGACAAGGAGAACATACGGCAGGAGCCGTACTCTCTACCCCAGGGTTTCACGTGGGACACGCTGGACCTCAGCAATGCTGAAGTGGTGAGTGTGTGTGGGGTGGGGTGGGGTGGGGGGGTTTCTCTTCATCACACCGTAGTGCCCACTGCCTCCCATTAGCTCATTTAGCGTGATGGTGAATAAAGGAAGGGGTGGGGGAGGGGCTGGGTCACATGGGTTCACATGGGGTCTGAGAGTCTGTTTACCAGCTGTGCCCCCCCTCCCCCCCCCCCACAGCTAAAAGAGCTATACACTCTGCTGAATGAGAACTACGTGGAGGATGACGACAATATGTTCCGCTTCGACTACTCGCCCAACTTCCTGAAGTGGTGAGCCGCGATGGGGCCTCCGTCCACAGGGGGGCGCTGCTGATCTAGGCCTTCTTGAGCCACTATGCTTCTGGGTTTATCTGGAGTTGAGAGCCGGGAGCTGAGTAAGAGGGCTTGATCCCTGTGATTGCAGCCTTCACATCCTCCCTCTGGAGACCCCCCCGCCCCCCGCACTGCTTTAAGGCTTGACCTGTTGACCTGCCTGTTGCGGTTGGGACATGTCATCACCTGACAGGATCGTAAATTTAATACTGTTGCTCTGTTCTTATCCTCGCAGTTTGATGCTAGCGCTGGTCGCTAATGTGCTGCAGTTTGTATTCTTCCTAATTTTTGTGCAGATAAGCTGTTTGATATTATTAGTATCATTCTGTAGTAATGGGCAGTGTGAAGCTTTGCAGGTATGTTTACTCCTCACAGGCGCTATTGTGAGTTTTGCCTCTTGCGGCCTGAAGCTGATTAGACTTCTAACCCCCATTTCCCAGGGCACTGCGCCCCCCCGGCTGGCTGCCCCACTGGCACTGTGGCGTGAGGGTCACCTCCAACAGGAAGCTGGTGTGTTTTATCAGTGCTATCCCAGCCAAAATCCACATCTATGACACGTGAGTGGGGCGTGTGTGGGGGGGGGTATCTGTGTGAGGTTAGAGCTCCGTCCCTCGCTCACCATCCCTCGCCCGCCGTCCCTCGCCCACCGTCCCTCGCCCACCGTCCCTCGCCCGCCGTCCCTCGCGCTAACCCGTCCCTCGCCCGCCGTCCCTCGCCCGCCGTCCCTCGCTCTAACCCGCCCCTCGCTCTAACCCGCCCCTCGCTCACATCCCCTCGCTCTTCCTGCCTGTAAGAGACTTGCCTGTCGGCCATACAGGGTGAAGAAGATGGTGGAGATCAATTTCCTCTGCGTGCACAAGAAGCTTCGGTCGAAGCGCGTGGCACCGGTGCTGATCCGTGAGATCACCCGGCGGGTCAACCTGGAGGGCATCTTCCAGGCTGTGTACACAGCCGGCGTGGTGCTGCCCAAACCCGTGTCCACATGCAGGTAGAGACTCCGGCCCCCACCGTCTCTATGCTCCCTCCATCCTCTCTCTGTCCATTCTCTCTTTCCTCTCATCAGTTCTTTTGTACAGTCTGTTGTCGTTCTTGTGGTATAACACTTATTTGCTTGGCCAAAGCATGAGGGAAATGTGGTGGTGATGGTGGTGATGGTGGTGATGATGATGATGATGATGATGATGATGGTGGGTCCTGATGTGTGCAGTAACCTCCCCACAGTGAAGCATGCGGCTGATCCTCCGTTTGTGCAGGCTGTGTCGGCATCGTCACATCATCTGTTTTCATCTCTCTCTCAGACAATACAATACACATCTTGGTACAGGGCTTGTAATATAGTGCAGAAAAGATACAAATAAACATGTAACGATTAGATAAGCTTTGATTCAACTATGATTCAATATGATTCAATTCAGCTTTGGCTGGATATAATTTAGATCATGTCCTACTTTTAGTAGAAACATTCAGTGTGTTTTTTTCTAAATGTCACTCTATGTATTTTGAACTGCAAAACCCACCTGAAACACTCTAACTGAACTCGCCTATCATACGATCTTAGCATTATAACATCACTGTAATCTGCAGCTGTAGTGACGGGATGGATTTATCAGGTCTGTCTGTTTTTGGCCCATTTCTTTCTGAATTTGACCCAGACTGGGGGGGTTTGTTTCCAAGCAGCCGTATCACAGACACTTTGACCAGCTTTCCGATTTGAATTGGTATTTCTATGCATTTAAAATGCACCAAGATGCCATAGACCAATTATACATGCACACTGCCTTACACTCCTGACTGTGTCCATGTTCGATCAGGTACTGGCATCGATCCCTGAACCCCAGGAAACTGGTGGAGGTGAAGTTTTCCCATTTGAGTAGAAACATGACCTTGCAGAGGACGATGAAGCTCTACAGACTCCCGGATGTAAGTGCACCTCACATCCAGTTTCCTTCCTAAGCAGGATCTCCACACTCAACCTCCCAGGCTGCTCTGTCTCCAGACTTTGGTGGAGGAACCCAATGATCCTTCACACTCGCAAAACCACATATTCGCTCACAGGGCCTGGGGTTGGAGGCTGCAGTGGGCTGGTTTTGATTGGTCCCCGTGGGACAGCTCCGGCAGGGGATTCAAACAACGTAGAAAATAAGATTGAAATGAGCAGATTTGCCAGGTCACTGCTCCCGGCTTGTCTTGCTTTTCAAAGACACAGCAAACTCACATTTGTGTGTAGAGCAGCCCTTCCCCGGATCTCACCCCTCCCCCAAAACATCCACACCCTCCCTGTGTTTCACAGCCCGTTCTACATGTTGGCTGATTCGTGCTGAATGATAATGAGCAGTTCAGAAAGCCCACGTAGCACTGCAGCCTGCAGGAATGAGTGTCTCGCTGTCTGAGCCTAAAGAGCCAGAAATGCTACAAAAATGAGCTCCTGTGTCCACCACTAGAGGGCTCCACATTGTTAGACATTGGTAAAAGGGTGGGATACTTTATGGGTATTTTATATGTATTTTGCAAATTGGTATTTTATATGTAACTACAGTTGTTTTACTGTTACGGCTGCTAGAGAAAGAACAGCTGCACATTAACGTTAGATTACTTTAATAGGTATTTGTAGAATCTTTGATTTTAGAGAATAAGTGATTAAAAGAAGAGGATGGTACTATGGCTCTGGTCAGCACTGTCACTCCCCCCCTCCAGGGCTGGGGGTTTGAATCCTACCCTCCCTGCATGTCTGCATGCAAAATGTGCATGTTCTTCTCAGTTTGACGTGGGTTACCTCCCATAGACCAAAGACACGGCTGTAAACTGGCTCGAAACTGCTCAAAATGCATGTGTGTGTGTGTCTGTGTGCTTGTGTGTCTGCTTGGAGCTGGCATTCTGTCCAGGATGTCCCTGCTTGTCGCCCAGTCCTTCCTGCGAGGCTTCAGGCACCGTCATCACAGGATAAGCAGCTGAACGATGACTGGATGGATTTACTGATTTATGGCAGGAATGCTGTAACAATTTTCATTCAGCTAGGGCTGTCGGGAATCAAAAGGCAGCCATCACCACGGACGTTTGACTGTCCTGTCGGGTTTGTTCCCCTAAGGCCACCAAAACAGCAGGCTTGCGGCCCATGGAGAAGAAGGACGTGAAGCAGGTGACAGCACTTCTCGACCGGTACCTGAAGCAGTTTCACCTGGGCCCTGTCATGGGCGAAGAGGAGGTGTCTCACTGGTTCCTGCCCCAGGAAAACATCATAGACACCTACGTGGTGGAGGTAAGATCCCCGGCACCTGCTGGTCCTGGGCACCTGCTGGTCCTGGGCACCTGCTGTGTGCCGCCCTTTGCTGGGTGTCACACTTGGGGCTTTTACCAGGAAGTACCAGAGACACTTGGCTTCTTGTCAGTATCCAGGGTGTGTGAGAGCATGAAACCTGCATACTGGGGACTGGGGGGGTAGCGTCACCTGGGGTGTGTGTTGGATCAGTACCGATCTCCTGCAGGGCCCGGATGGAGTCCTGACCGACTTCACCAGCTTCTACACCCTGCCATCCACTGTGATGCACCATGCAGTTCACAAAAGTCTGAAGGCTGCCTACTGCTTCTACAGCGTCCACACAGACACGCCTCTCATGGACTTGATGAACGACGCTCTCATCCTGGCCAGACTGGTAGGGTGCCCTCCCGGGTTGCAAATGCCGCAAACACCGCCGCCCTTGTGGCCGGGACTGTGTCTGACTGGTTAAGTTGATTGGTTCTTAGCTGTTTTACATGCTGTCTGCTTCGTGTTTCACTAACAGAAGGGCTTCGATGTCTTCAACGCGCTGGACCTGATGGAAAATAAGACTTTTCTCGAAAAGCTCAAATTCGGGATCGGAGATGGTAATTTGCAGTATTACTTGTACAACTGGAAATGCCCGCCAATGGAACCGGAAAAGGTAAGACAGGAGGGGCACCCTGGGGGGGGGGGGTCACAGCTGAAACCCTGGAGATGTTCTGTATTTGCTGAGGATCCATGGAATATTACTGCAATTCAACCCCAAACGTCCACATGTGCTTAAACAAAGCGAAGAGGTTCAGACCCTGTCGCCCCCTAACCTCCCTCTGTTTACATTTCAGGTCGGACTTGTACTGCAGTGATCTGTCCGTTTACATTCAGAACGCAAATCGAGACCGATGGTTTCACCTTTCCACTCTCGAACTCGGACTTTCTTAAAGAAGCTGTCCAAAAAAAACAACAAAAGAAAAACAAAGTGAATGGAAACATCACTTCAAAGTGTTTCTCTTAGCTCTCGTTTGTTTAATATGAGAACATTAATTCTGGTCACCCAAAAGTGACATCTTTTAACCATCTACATACTGAATGTGAATCTTACTCTGCTTGTTGCTGACTTTCATAAAACTGTTCTGTCCATCCCGTGAAGAAAATGGAAGTTTAATTCCTTTTGAAGCAGACATTCAAGAACAAGAATATCCCCACGTGTTACGATGGATTTTTTTTCAGGGGGTAGTTTAAAAAGTGTAACCTTCTACTGAGAAGGTGTGTTTGTATCCCAGCTGAAGGGGATTACAGCCCTGGATATTTATTAAATGGCAGAGATGTGTTGATGTTTGGGACATTTATGTCGAAGGATTTTGTCCTACGGAAAAACGGATGTCTGTTAACCGTTAATGTCATTTGCATTAGCTGGTGGACTGGATGTGTACATTAGGAAGAACTCTTTTTCTTTTGTTCTTTTTCAGTGTTCTTAAGCTAGCAATTATTTACATGTAGTGTATTTTTTTGGGGGGGAGGGGGTGTTCAAGAAGGGGGTGACCGGTAGCTTCCTGTGTTCGTGGTGGCTTCATCGTACGACTGCTTGGCCATTCGGATACATCGCTGAACCGCAGCCCGGCCACATTCTGATAAGTAGACCTTATTTAATTAGCCCGTACAGTTCGTCATCACCACACGGAGCAGCGAGGGGAAGTCGGGGCGTGGATAACGGACCACGCTGAAGCACATCTCGGCTGCTCCGCACCTGGTGGTCGTCTCACCGGACCTTCGAGCGGGGCAGCCGTCGCCCGAGTCCTTCCACATCCAGATGTCCTACAAAGATTGCCATTTAAAGATGGGACCAGGCGCTGACTTATGGTGAAGATGCACATGGGAGACAGCTGAGCGTGTGCGACATGTTGGTCTCGCTGGCGCGCTTCTCAGAGGCAACGAGTATGTGAACAAGCTGAATTACGTTCCACAATGAGACTGTGACACAGTGACGTCAGAGGTGACCCTGGCATAGGTTAGGGAATGCAGACATTGTTGGATTCAGCAAGACGTGTGTGACTCTCATACTTAGAATCAATGTTTTATTTATTTTGGATGGGGGTGTGATTGGAAAAAATTCATTTTTTTTTTAAACATAAAGGGATGTCTAAAGTAGCGCCTGATGTGTGATGATACCCAAAGTACTTGCCTTATTTGAACAGAAGTTTTTTTTTAAGATATCAAACGTGCAATTTTGAGAAGATGCACAAATTTCTCTCGAACACAGTATATTTTTTATTGAATTCCGGGCAGGTTGTCAAAAAAAAAGTGGTGCAGAGGGAGACTCGTCAAACAGCATCATCCAGACTTCATTTTAGTACCTGTACATGTTACCAGCATGGATGTCTGACAGAATAAACTCTGTCTGTAACAGACCTGTTCTGACTTCCTGTCTCTGTTTGTTCCCAACAGTCTTATAAAGACAAACTATCTCCAGCCATGAAGAGCATCAGTCCTGTCACTGAGCGTTAACGGCTAGCATGAAATTAAAAACTGAGTATTTTGAAGTTAATCACTTGGAAATGGCTCGTCGCTTCACTTTCTTCTGCTTGCGGGCCTTTGTGGGATTCGGAACGATCCTCTTCACTCTGAGGTGCTCCAAAGCGCACTTTGGGACCTGCTTATTCTGCTCCGTCTCCAAAGATGCTGCTTCTAGTTTCCTCTTCCGGCCCCTCGCCTGACCGCCATCGTCCGTCGCTTCCCCCTGAGCGGACCGTACTGCGGTTTGTAGCGAAAGCCAGGCCACCGGTAGGGGGGGCACTCTGGGCACGATGGCGGCAACGGCCTGGGAAAAGGCCTCAGCGTTCCTCCTGACACCCAGAGCTAGGACGTGCTTCAGGCCAAGGAGGGCGGCCAGGCTCTCACTAAGCCGTGGCACCTGGCAGGCCGGCACCGCCCGGCTCCTACTCAGCGGGATCAGGTGGCCGCTCATGTGAGCAGGCCGCACTGACTTACACACCAGCACCAGACACAGGTCATTCTTCTCCAGGCCTCGCGTCACCTCATTGATCCCGATGGCCAGCTGCTTCCTGAACCCTACGTTGGTCCATCCCTGCTCCACCTTGTCCTCAGGCAGAGCCTCAGAAGTGGCCTCCACCTTGTCGCCTGACTCTTCCTCTGAACACTTGGTGGACGCTTCCTTTTTCTTGCTGAACCACCGGTGACTCCCCTTAACCTCCCTCTTGTGGAGACCGAGTTCTGACAGCTTCTCCTTCAAAACGCCGAGTATGAAATGCATATCCGCCTGGTCCAGACGATTCCACTGGAGACAATAAGGCGTGTTCAGAGATGTCTTCACAGAGACTGGTTTCTTCTTTTCTTTTTTGGTCATTTTACAAACAGTTGCCGTTTCTCTCTCCCGTGGGATAGTTGTATCTACCGAAACAAGAGAACAACATGAACAGGAAGCCGCCAGGTTACCGAGATTAAAGCCCCACAAACACCGGGTTTCGGGCAGCAGTCCAAACTCAAAACTGCAAAAGCATTGTCACAGCGACATAACCACGATGCAAAAGCCACTTCTGACAAAAAGAAACTGCTAGCGTTCTGAGTTTGTCCTCGGCTTAATTTATGTTTACCAAATACTGAAACGACATAACAAATGAGAATGACCATCTTTTGCATGCGTGCTACAAACCAGCAAATCCTTACACGTACTGCTATAAATTTCAAATCAGCGCGATAAACCGAAGCGTGGCATCATTAATATTATTACTAAGATATCTTAGTAATACAGCGAAATATTTCGCTTACAGTCGACCGGACAAGCCCGTCACAATAAGCCGTATTCAGAATCAAATAGACATTAACCAGAAAACTACTGTTTTGCAGGAGACCGCGTTTGTCTTTCCTTCACCGAGGAGCCAGCGGCGGAGCCATGTCGCATGCGCGAGACTAACAGCCCCGTGCTGTTTTGAAGGCAGAAACTTTATTGTTCACGAACACACTGCGCCCCCTGGTGGACCGGCGTGGCTGCTGCAAGCCGCTTCTTCTGATACGGGAGTATTTAAGGCCTGGTTATGGAAATAAAATACTGAGCTGGGAGAGGAGGGTTCCGAGAAAAAGTATTCGAGTAATTTTCTCGTAAATTCGTTGCCCTTTTCTCATAAATTTACTTAAACTTTGCAGAAGTATTATATGAGTGTCAAACTGAAATTCATTAAATATTGAGACCCATCACTCCAAAATTCAAGCAAAACCCCTTAGTGGCAGCCAAGGGAAGGGTATAAGCAGATGACATTTGACCTTGCAAATGTGATATCAAAGGTATTAGATCAGGGGTGTCAAACTCCAGTCCTGGGGGGCCGGAGCCTTACACATTTTTGGGTATCCCCTCATTTAACACACCTGATTCAACTCCTTGCACCTCCTTGTGCTAATTACCACACAGCTCCTGAGCTGAATCATTTGTGGTGGAACAGGGAAAGAACTAAGTTACACAGGGCTCTGGCCCCCCAGGACTGGAGTTTGTCACCCCTGTATTAGATGGATCCTATTGCTGCTTCACAAAGCATTGTGTGGATGAAGATCTGCACCTGCTTTTGTTTTCAGACAAATTGCCGAAAAATGAAGCACTGTGTAGCAGCAAAGGAAGGAAATGGCTGCTGTGAAGACACGTGTTCTTGTGAATACAATAACTCTAAAAGTATTTGACAGAACTTTTTCAACCTTTGCAGACAAGCTGTGAAGACGAAGATATGGACCTGATCAAATCTTGAGACAAATTGCACTTAAAACTGAAGCAGCACTCAATAGTGACAGCAAAGAGAAGGTCAGCTCAGACACTTGATCTTGTCAGCATGATAACTCAAAAATTATTTCCAAACTTTGCAGAAACATTTTATGGGTGTAGACCTGAATGACAAAGCACGCCAAAATTGAAGCAATGGCGCTTAGTGACACCAAAGCCAAGGGTGGCTGGATGACAAGCTTACTCTTGTAAACAGGATCACTGTATCAGTTATAATCTCTTTGACCTTTGATGGATCCTATTATTCAAAAAAAACATCATATGGATTAAAATGTACAACTAAAAACCTGCATCTGACCAGACCCCAAATTTCCCCACTGGAACTACAATGGCAGAGGGAAAATGGAGCCTGCAGCCGCCATCTTGTGAACACAGCCATCCACCATCAACACACATTCTGCGGATCTATATAAACTTCCCAGGCTCATTGTACGGGTCAGAAATTCCCAAACTGTGGGGCGCGAGATGATATTCTGAATATACCATAATAACGAGGTGGGAGAGTGTGTCAGGTAGCCTTGTGATAATAATATTTTCATTATACTGCGGTACTATAATTTGGCAAAATTTACTGTGGGCACCCCCCTCCCCCCCAACAGCTCAGCTAAATTGGGAATGAGGGAATTTAATAGTCTCACTTATCCCAAGTCAGTGATGGTATATGAAAAACAGGTGTGGATCTGGTGAACCCATCTAACGTTACAGCCGGTCAGATGGAGGTTCTCCACGGTGCCAGATAGACAACCTCACACTGTACTGGCACCCCAAGCTTCACTCTCAACAGCTGTATGTGTGTGTGTGTGTGTGTGTGTGTGTGTGTGTGTGTGTACCACTAAACAGACTCCTCTGCGTGGAGACTGTGCTGTGCAGGGGGGTAACTGACAATGTTTGTTTAGGGTCCTTCTCTCTGTCACTGATGTGACAGAGTCCAGCTCAGTGCCAACCACAGAGCCAGCTCTCCTCACCAGCCTGTCCAGTCGCTTCCTGATACTGTGTCCCCAGCAGACCACAGCATAGAAGAGCATGCTGGCAATGACTGGTAGAACATCACACTTTCCTGCAGATATTGAAAGACCCCAGCCTTCTTAGGACATACAGCTGGCCTTGGCCTTTCTTGTAAGAGTGTTTGCTGACCAGCCCGTTTTGTCCGCTAGCTAAAGCCCCAGGTTCTTGTAGATCCTGACTACTTCCATATCGACCCCCTCAATAGAGACTCGTAACAGAGGGGGCCTGGAAATCCTGAACTCCACCACCATTTCCCTTGTCTGCAGATAATTTGACCTGCACCATTTCACAAAGTCCTCCACCAGGCTCCTGTACTCCCCCTCCTGACCATCCTTAATACACTCCACAACTGCTGCGTCATCTGAGAATTTCTGACTGCGGCATGACTCCAAGTTGTAAGTGAAGTCAGATGTGTACAGGGTGACCAGGACAGGGGAAGCACAATCCCCTGGGGTGCACCCTTGTTCAATATTTTACAGCATTAAAATAAAATGTTTCAGGTCATAGTGTCTGTCAATGCTATTAAAATCTGATAAGGCAGCAAAAATTGACAACAATCACTATCAAATCCTGCTACTGCTTAGTGATGTTACGTTCGCGAACCAACAAAAGGGAACTGAGTCATACTTGAGAGATCCATTCATTTAATCGTTCTACCCAAATTTCACTGCCTTTCTTAAATCCACTGCGCTCCCCTTCATGCGAACAGTGAGAACAAGCCAGTCACAGGAAGTACACGTTGTCCTGTTGGGTTGCTTAAAGGCAGAATGAGCAGGATTTGTGCCAAAAACGTTTTCTAATGCTAAGAGTTGCATAAATTGCCTTCAAGGCGAGGCAAATTTATTTGCATAACAAATTTTATAGACACGGTAAATTAAAAGTAGTAAATTCACTGACAAAGCAGAGTGATATAGCGTCACCTTGAATAATGTGATCATCTTGTGTAATGCAGATCATTGACATTAGGAAATACGAGTAATTTAATGCTGTAAACCTACCCCACACATGTAAAATTAAATTATATTGGAGTAATGTCTAAGTCTGAGTCTGGTCCAAATCTAGCGCCATATCATTATCTAAGTGATTATTTCGCAATTAAGCCTAGTAACCCTCGCCCCCTAAGAAAAAAAAAAAAAAAAAGAACGACGAGCGAAAGGAACGGAACAATAACCGCCGTTATTTCCATCACTACTACTGGCAGCAAAATCTGTTACAGCAGCAGAAAATGACAGCGCACCAGCGCGCTGAAAGACGAAGACGAGCTAGGCCGCCCCGCCCCGCCCCCTTATGTGGTATCAGCCAATCGACTTCCGCCGCGCTGCTGCGTGGCTCTTAACGGCAGAGCATCGGGTCGGATCCCTCACTCTGCGTACCTGGCTTGGCCTTCGGGGGCGTCGCCGCGTCTTGAAGTGCTACACAATGTCTTTGCAGGTAGCGATAATGGTTGAATAGTATTAATTGCGAGCCTTCAGTGTGGTAAATATATTCATAACCGCTTGCTATTTCAGGAAATTTAGCCGCTATAAATACGCGTTCAGTAAGGTTCTGCGAACCCGATTGCAGTACTTTTCTGATGTCAGTGTCCTAAAATAATGTCACCTTGAATTAATTTTAGTACAAACGTGCATTTTGTGGCTGCTGAAGTCTGTTTGCAGCAATTTGAGACCTGAACTTGACCGACGGGTATTGCGCTTTTGTTAAATAATTTAAAGGTTTTTACGTTTAATTATGCATTCGAATCTAAATGCTTCCCTTTAACTTAATACGTTTATTGCCCTAAGTGATTAGAAAGTAGCGGGCACGGGGTGATCATTGAAGTTGCATATACGAGTGGAATCAATTTGTCGTTCGATGACTTGTGTAACGTATTGCACACATTGCAGGAAAACTGGTTAATGTTATTAAATCGTTACTGTCAAGCTTTAACGATTTAATAAGGCAATAAGCGTTACAGTCTTAATGCAAACTTCGTCGGCGATTTCGGCGCGGCGCGGGCGGAACAGCTATGATTCATAATTGCATTTCCCTGCATTTCCCTGAGACGCGTTTTCCGTGCAGTCCGTTAGTATAGCTTGGGTATCAGAGCCCGAAGGTGCTGCCATTGAATTTGCATAATTTTACAAACTTTCTCCAACAACCGTAATCAGCATGCAGGATTTGAAACGTAGGCTATCACTACAATCACTGCGATAGTACTGCGAGCTCCTCTGATGTCCGATGAATCCGATAAAACACATTTCGGACAAAGGTCGTAAAAGCGATTCATGGAAGGATTATGAAACGGGGAAAAAAACGCAATAAGGCTGCTGTGTTGTGCGCTTTCTCACGTGCCTGGAGCCATCCAACGTGATGCATGATAACTGGACGATTGTTTTTGTATCTTGATGTTTTTTTAATGAGGGTATAAATAGCAGCTATTGCTGATGATGAATGCGGTTCTGTTTCGAATGTAGGCAGAGTTTGAGAAGTTGGCTGAGGATGTAAAGAACGTGAAGACGAGGCCGGAGGACCAGGAGCTGCTGGATATGTATGGGCTGTACAAGCAAGCCACCGTCGGGGACATAAACACCGGTAGGGTGGCTTCCGTTTGCTCTCTGACCCCCCCTGTCTCTCCAAATATGGTGTTTGACTCCAATTCTGTTCTTCAGAGAAACCGGGGCTATTGGACTTCAAAGGCAAAGCGAAATGGGAAGCCTGGAGCTCCAGGACAGGTGCGACTCAAGTTCTGGGCAAATGATCACGCTGAGGGTGTTTTGTAATAGGAATATAATGGATAGTTCCCGCACAGAGCTCCATCTCCGTACGTTTGAACTCTTACTGTTTGTTTAACTGTGGTTTTTGCTTTCTGACCTGACAGGAATGTCCAAGGATGATGCCATGACAGCCTACATTGCTATAGCAAAGGACGTCATCGCCAAATATGGAATGTGATTATTATTATTTTTTAAAGGCAAAGCCCTTAAGTACTGTAGCTCAGTTTTATCAAAAAATCAGCTTAGTCAGTAAGACACAGTTTGAAGTAATCTCATATAGAATCTAGTCAGCCGTCATCCTTTAATTTTTTATGATTCTTTAAAATTGTGCTGTCAACTTCTTACATGGCTTAAACTATTAAAAACTATTCTGAATTAGTTTACCAGTCTCATTTATATTCAGTGTTAGTTCTAATGTAAACCTGTGTCTGTCGACATCCAGCATATCGTAAAGTGTGTATTTTGCACCTGTAACAGATCTGTGCATTAGATTGGTACACACTCAGTTGTTTACTTGTTTCATTAAAACAGAAAAGGTGTATTACTGTATTGCACTGTAACTGTAAACAGATGAAGTGTAACTGCATTACAGTTTATCTCTGGTTTGTTGCGAGGTGTGATGTGATGTGGATCACATTTTGATGTATAAGATAGAAGTCTCACATCTTGCACATTTTTCTGGAGGTAACATGTTTGATTGGGCGAAACACAGTATGCAGGACAGCCTGATTCCTGATTCCTTTATCTGAACACCTTCCTCCTTGGCAATGAGCCTCTAACCAATAAGAGCCTGAGTTTCTTTGTGCAAAATGGCAGTGTGACCCATTTACAAAGCAGAGCTTGTGATGTTACTAAGGAAACGGAAAGCTGTGGGTTTGTGTGGCCTCTGTTCTCAAATGACTGTAAGGAGCAAGAGCCATTTTTATTCTGATACCATAATGGTTTCCAGGGAGCTGAAAAGCTGACCACCAGGACAGCAGCAAGGCAGAGTAGAGAAGTTTGCCCTGGGTGTTTTCGGGGTAGGGTGTTAGTCATCACGAAAATAGAGAAATAAAAGTGAGCTGAGTGAAGAGTGAGGAAATCACTGGGTCGGAAGCGTATCCGTGACTCAAGCTTACCAGTTTCATAACTTAAATTTCACAAGGTTTAAGACTTTCTGAAATAGCACCGTTAATGTACATCTGATATGTCGTCAGGCTGATGTAGACATGATCAAATTCACATACGTAAATTCAAAGCCACATCGTGTTGCATTATTACTTGGATGTTCTACATGGCAGGCAGCCTGCTCAGCTCAAACTATTAGCAGATGTGTTTCTCGGACTGGATACATACTGAAGTGTCACGTGTAGGACGTCTCTCCTGATGTCTGGGGACTGGATTCTTCAGCTATCGTACAGCTTATTCCTACCTCTGCACGAGTACAAGGATCAGGTGAGAGGCTGAATTAGTGCAATAAAACAGCCTGTCGAAGCATGATAGTTGTTAGGGGTGAGGTGTCCCTTCCAGAGTTCACACAGGCTGGGCAAGGGCAGTATTGTGATAAAGACCAGGAAAAAAAAACAGTTAAACGCGGCATTTAGACACAGGAGACTACCAAAAGCTTACGGAGGCTGACAAAGAACAAAACACGCTTCACATTTCAGGCTTACAGAACGAACCGAATGAGTGAATTAAAATGAATTATCCCAGTCACCTGATTGTCCCTTGTGATTTAGCCACGCCCACTTTTTCATACATGCATTTTCAGGTCAGGTTCTGTGTATGAAATGTTTGCGAAAACTATATCTTTCCGTCAATCCTTAAAAACACAAATCTCTGTTGTCCAGCCAAGACAATAACCTTCAACATGCTGGAGGTCTGAACTTTAAAAATCTCTTTTCAGTCAAACAGACACTTTAATACTGCATCCATTTCCCAGTTTTCACACTGAAAGTACAGTCCCATGTGAAATATAAACAGCTGACTTTTAATACATAATATTAAGGGGTTTAATGGTCTAATTAACTATAACAATATACACTTTTGCCACAAAAGATCATTTTGCATGTGGCGAAACTAAACACTGAAAATGAGTGAATGACATACTATGGCACTAACTCTCACAATGCAGATTGTTAATGTTTAGGACCTTCTCTACGTTTTCTACTGTGGCACAGATTGATGACACTGTGGCAAGAAACATCCTGCAGCTATAAATGCCCACTGTCCGGCCTGGATCCGGTCACTGCGCAGGGGCACTGGGGCGTGATTGAGTGAAAAGCAGCAGGGAATGCGGCACCTGCTGGAGGGAGAGTGGAAGCCTAAGGCCATGTGTTTTAGCAGGATGGTTTCGGAGCTTAAGACCCAGGTTCTTGAAGTGGCCTTGAGGCTTCCTGAAGGCTGTTTCTGTAAATCGGTTGAGAAAAAGCCCGACTCACTGGGCTGGAGAAAACAATAGCTTCTCCCCCAGGGCCGTCATCCCATCACGGGACGCCTTTGTTCCGCAAAGGAGGAATGCTCACTGGAGCCATGGGATCACGGCCCGACCAATCAGATTCAGCCGAGGGCCGACACGAGGCTGGGCTAAGTGAGCGGGCTTTGTCGACTCTTTCAAAGGCTTTGATAGCTGGAGAGCTGCCAGTCTTGTGCAGTTCAGCAGTGATCTGGCATGGGCGGAATCAGCAATGCAGCAGAAGCTCTGCGCTTCATGAACACTGCAGTTAAGCTGTGTCCATAGCTGAATGGTGAAGCATCACATCCACCAGGAAGCATATGACTGTATCGCATAAGGTCTCAGGGGGAAATTAGCACCACTTGTCAATAAATGACCTCACTGTGGTATCAGTCAATGGAACACTGAACGACATGTATTTACACAGTTCGGAGGTTAACTTTGTCAGCTGGCTGGAGTGAGATTTTCAGTTCAAGGCAAATCTGCACACGCATTTACATGTATGCAACAGTTTTATTACCTTAATAAATAATCTGTATGTTTTGCAAACTACCCCAGAGCTATTGATGTAGCTAATTTTAGGTTTATAATGGAATTATATAGATTTGCAGTAAGATTTTGTGTGCGAGGGTCTGAAAGTGTGAGTGTCACGGCAGATGTGTGAGAGTTGGCAGCCCTGCAGTTCATTAGCAGAAAGCCAGTGTAGGTATATCTTAGTACTGAAAGACCTTTTTTAATACGTACATTTGTACTGTGTTGACACGGTATAAAAATGAACATCTACACAGGTTTTTTAAACACATGGTGTTCAATGCCTAAGCACTCAAAAGCTTGGCAGTGAGACAGCACTAAGCCCTAAGCCCTCAAAACTTTGTCGATACAGATAAATCTCTACACGCATTTTCAGATCTGCCAGGACAGAAGTGTAGCAAAAACCACATGTAAAATGATAGCCAACGGAGAAGTCTGCCTGAGTCGTAACTGATGACTTGTCTGTATTTCCAGCTCTTGTAGCAAAATCCTAAGACTTTTCAGCCATTAATAGCTATGTACCCATTTATATATTTGTCTACACATTTACAGATCTATGCAGGTATTTACAGATTTGTCTACACATTCACAGACAGGGCCGTAGCTAGGTTTTTTAAAACAAAAAGGTGAAGAGGTCAAAAGTGTTAGACCTTCCTACGTGTGTAATGGATCATAAGAACATAAGAACATAAGAACTATACAAACGAGAGGAGGCCATTCGGCCCATCGAGCTCGCTTGGGGAGAACTTAACTAATAGCTTAGAGTTGTTAAAATCTTATCTAGCTCTGATTTAAAGGAACCCAAGGATTCAGCTTGCACTACGTTATCAG